GTGGCACCCATACATCGAGCTTCTTCTTGAGACCAGCCTTATGCAAATGGTTCCAAACGGTTTTCTGGCTAATCTTCAGTTCCTGGGCAATGGAATAAGTGCTCACATGCCGGTCCGACTCGACGATTTCCATGATTTTATCGACATTTTCGACGATTGGCCTACCAGAGCGTGCCTCATCTTCGACGTCCATATTACCAGAACGGAATCGTTGGAACCACCGCTTTGCTGTTGCATTCGATACTGTATTGGGTCCATAAACAGCACAAATTTTTTTGGCCGCCTGCTCCGCCTTTTCACTTTGGTCGTAGTGGTACTGAAGAATGTATCGAATTTTCTCTTTTTTTACCTCCATTTTGGAACGCTGTAACACACAACTGGCTTGACCAAACACAAAACTGTCGCAGAACTTTTTTGAAGCGTAATGTCACCTTTCAATCGCCGTATCGTATGACCCGATGCGATGTATACATCGTGAGATATGGCTCACTAAAGACATCTAGCGGAAAACGCTCAGAACTTTTTACTTCACCTAATATTTGAACAAATACTGTTTGGGTCATTCGTGATTTCCAAAATAGTGACAAAGTTTTATCTTATGCAACTGCGGTATTGCAATGTTTGCTGCATTTAAGTATCGTTAGAAAGAAAACTCGATTATGATAAATTAAGTGTTTTGGCTACATTAATTCACCGATATGAAAATGGAATGCCTTGAATACATATACAATACGACAATATCTAGAAGAGAACTTTACAAAAAATGTAAAACGTGATGCATCTGAATTTCTTCTGGCTTTCTGTGTAAATGATTATATAAAGAGTCTAATTGAGCATCAAGTAACTTCCGCTGTAAAATGCATAAATTGTGATACTACAAACACCAGTATATCAAATAATATTTTCATTTCAATTCCTTGTTAATTTTAAAAAGAAAAGTTATGATCTTAATGATTTGATAGTATCTTTTCGCATTGGTGTAAAGAATATAAGGAATTATGTGCAAATTGTACTGGAAATGACATGTTACTTAAAAGAGAATTAATATTGACAAGAGAGATACTTATTATTCATTTAGTCTTACTTGTACAAGGCGATAAATTATTAAAACCTGATTTTAATTTACGTGCAGTTCCAACAACTAAAATATCAGTTAATGGACAGTTGTATAAAGTCATGAATGCGATATTTCATCACGTATCATGTATAAAAAACGATCATTATATAAATACATCGTGAAGGAACATGTACCTGGATTGAAGTTGATGATGGGACAATTAATAAAACAAAATGGCCTAGAGAACCTAAAAATATTTACATACTCTTTTTGGAAAAACTTAAGAAAAATTAAACCCAAATAAAAGAAAATATTTAATTGCTTAAAATAATTGATCACTTTAATATGTTTGCACCAGATAGAATCAATAACAAAAATTTCTTGCCGAATATGATTAGAGTCCACAGAACAAAATTTAAAAACTGCAAGTCTTTTCAACACTTTGTTATATGTATTATTCTGTTATTGTTATTATGTAGAAATACATTATATTGTATTGAAAGAAGTGTTTGCCAAAAACATATTCTACAAACATGTGTGATATCTCGAACAAAATATCTTTTCAAAAAAAGGTAAAAAAAAGCGCTAAGTTACATGCGCAACTCGTATCTTTAGAAAACGTATTATAAAAATCTTTTTTTACAAAATCTATTCTACAAACGAAATGATATCAATAAGTAGCGCCAAGTAAAATCTTGTACATTTATACATTGTTATAAGATATAAAATATTATATAAAACTTCGTAAGTTCCTAGCAAACACAAAGTAACAGTTACGTAACATTAATGTTATAATTTCCCACTCAACAATGTAACTGCTACGTACAAGGCATGTTACATTGCAGTTACATCATTGAGTGGGAAATTATAACATTAGTGTTACGTTACTGTTACTTTGTGTTAGCTGGGTTGTTTGTACGTTGTTATAAAATAATATAAATTATCCACATTTATATAGATTTTGTGGATAATAATATAAAATATTCCAAAACAATAGAAAGTTTAAAATATATATATTATGTGACCAGTGTACTTTGTATATAACGCACCCATCGATGTAAGAAATGACCTCGCCTTGCGTGGAAAATCTTAAACTATGTCAAATCATACATATAGATTTTGCTTTGTGTGAAAAGTCAAAAATCTATGTGGAATTTTTCAAAATAAAAATAAACCTATTTAATGTAAAAAAACTTGGCGCGGCTGCATCGAAAACTATATTGAACTAAAGTTTACTATGATGTTATAGCTACTTAATATCTTTTTTTCTTTTGTTACACTTCTGTGTTCTAGTAAATGTTTTTGTAAATAATCACGGAAAATACAGTTTTGATAAGTTACTTGTTAGTTTCACTAACAAATCGTTTTGTTATAACACCAAGTACTTCGAATATAAAATCCGTGATCTATATAGTCTACATAAGTTTATGATTTTTTATACCTGATTTTTTAAATATCCTATAGTTACATATAAAGTTTTTCAATTGGCGTTACTACTTTATTATTATAATAGTATATATCACGTTTTTTGTAGAATAGATTTTGTAGATAAATTTGTAGTAATTGTATCTCACTTCTTTTGTAGAGTAGATTTTAGTAGTATATTATAATTATAAAACAAACAAATAGTTTACTTAAGGCTACATTTTGATATCACTTCTTTTGTAAAACATATTTTTAAAGAAAGAATGTTTTGTAGTATATAATATAAATTTTTACAGTAAAAATGTTTTGTAGTATATACTATTTTGTAAACCAGGTTTTATAGAGAAAGAACTTTTTGTATTTTGTAAAAAGATTTTCAGAGAAAAAGAAGTTTTTGTAGTAAAAAAAATTGTTTTGTAGTATATAATTTTGTAGAACAGATTTTATAGAGAAAGAATTTTTTGTAGTATTAAATCAAGTTTTAATTTATTAAATTAAATACAATACGTGTTGTGCGTGTACTTGGCGCTTGTTCTTACTTTTTTTGGGAAAGACAAGTTTTTCGAAATATCACATATTTTGTAGTATTATTTAATTTTGTAAAACAAGTCTTTTAGAGAAAGACTTTTTTGTAGTATTCAATCAATTTTTATTAAATTTTAAGTTTTTACTTTATAAAGTTAAGGTTAAGGTTATATAGTTCGCAGTTTGTTATCTTGTGCCAAGTTTCAAAACAATTGATTTAAAAAAATATATATCGGAGGTGTTGACGGTGCGAAAAGAATTTCTTTATCCGTTTTCTAAATACAATACGTCTTCTGTGCGTGTTACTTGACGCCTGTTCTTACGTTGTTTTTGAAAAGGTAAGTTTTTCGAGAAATCACACATTTTGTGGTATTATTTAATTTTATAAAACAAGGTTTATAGAGAAAGAATTTTTTGTAGTATTAAATTAATTTTTAATTTATTAATTTTTTAAATTTTTTACTTCATAAAGTTAAACTATAAAGCTTGTTGTTAGAATTGTAGAAGAATTTTTTGTAGTATCAAATTAATTTTTAATTTATTAATTTTTTTTAATTTTTTACTTTATAAAGTTAAAGTATAAAGCTTGTAGTTATTTTGTGCCAAATATCAAAACAGTTTATTAAAAGTTATATCGGAGATGTTTCCGGCGCGAAACAACCACGCCGCGATAAATTGCCCCACGATCACCACGGTCGGAGGCATTGCAGAGTCTGATTTTTCTGCAAAATTTGTTTATGTCGCTTTTGAATTATTTTTCTACTTCATAAATTTAAAGTATACAGTTTGTAGGTATTTCGTGCCACGGTTCGAAACAATGTATTAAAAAACCTTATATCGAAGGTGTTGCCAGCGCCAAAAAAAATTGTTTTATCTCTTTTCTGAAGTAATTGTTTGTCATAAATTGAAAGTTTATAGTTTATACTTATTTCGTGTCATGTTTCCAAAAAGTTTATTAAAAGATGTTATATCGGAAGTCTTGCGCGAAATTACTATGCCGCGAGGAACATTATCGAAGCGATCGGTACTATCGGAGGTGTTGCCGGCGCGAATAACGCGAATCACCGTGCCTATTGATTCTCTTTCTCTCTCTAACTCATACATCCTGTCTTTCTGTCTTTTTCTTGTTTTAACGCACTCGTATTTGTATGCCATCTGTTAGAACTTATACGAACATGCACACATTCCTTACATTTTTGTCTGGAGACGATGTCCGAACATTCTGAAAAACGTGATTTGTCATATTTCAAAACTTTATCGTTGCATATCTCCGATCAGAAGGCACGAACAAAAAAACACAAGAATACTATTTTTTTTAAATTATTCTGAATTAATCTTGATTTATTCATAGTTTTTTCCATTGACGATGACTTAAATAAAAAGTCGAAACATTTGGATTACATATTTTGTTCGACTTTCTGCATGACATCCTGTCCCTTAGTTCGAACTGCCGTATCGTCTCAACACTTATTAGTTTTAATTTACTCAAGATTTTTATTCTATTTCTCACAACAATCATTGAGTTTTTTTTTTAATTTTTGTACAACCCTTCGGCATAGTTTTGTACTATAGCGTCGGTTTTGCTAAGATACTCTTACCATTATTAATCGTACCTTATCCTCTCTACTGCGTGATGTTACGCGTCCGCAAGTTTCACGGAAAAGCTGCGCGTCTAATTGGTCTAGTTTACACCGTACATTTTTTGGTACGCGAATCAAACAAGATTTATTTTTCAATGTATAATTTTGGTGTTTACATCATTATAATGTGCTTGATACGCGTACCATTTTGATACAATACACGTGAAGAAGGAGTATCGTAACAGCTTAATATGACATTGTTTGAGACATTATTGAGACCAAGTCGACTTAATACAAATATAGTACTTAATACGCGTATTAAGCAATCGGTGTAAACTAGACCATTGAGACACTATATAGGATGTCCGACAATTATTTTAATATCTCTCGTAGGCAGATAGAAGGAGTAAAACAGAGTCAAAAAATCCTATACCATTTTGCGAGATTCGCAATAGTTATTAAGATCTTAATTAAGATCCGCGAATAAGCACGCATCGGGCTGTCTTACGCGCGTAAGACTGCCTGGCGCCAGTGTTGCAAACTTTGGTCGGCTAGCACAGAGAGTACCGAGGTAGTGGGAGCCACTGGGAGCACACATACACGCAAGAATCGCCGTCCGAAGTGCGTGACGTCACGCCCGGCACTTCGGCTCGTGGGAGATTTAATTTAATACTTTAAGATTATGCATCTATAAAATTTAGATTCTTTTCGTATGTCAGGCTATGCCCCTTCCAGTATATATGTTCTAAGGTGCTAGCCGGCCAAAGTTTGCAACACTTGTGCGACCACCTTTTATTATGTATAATGTATATCATGGTGTAAAAAGAAAGGTGTCCCATTCCGACGGATGCGCAGTAGACTGAAGGTGGTGGGAATCTGTCAGCCAATCAAGGTTTGAGATCATTTGCACATACACATATACACAATGAACATATATGTATAGTTTCACGGCAATATCTTCAGTTCGGAGTGTCTAATTTTTGATAAACTAACTACAATCATATGCAAAAAAGTTTCTTTTCCCGCAACTGTAATTGCTTGTTTGGTGCAGATGAGTACATACATACACCTGTGTTATATTAATAACTTGATAAAAAGCAAAACTGTACACAAAAAAAAAAGAAAAAAATGAAACATATCTGCAACAATGTTAAAAGTTTTCATATTCTATGAAAAAATTTTTATTTCGACAAAACGTTAAGTTAGGACAAAAGTTATATGTTTTTCACGTTCATATTTGTTAGTTTTACTATTATTACGTATTTATTTTATTAATTGATTGTATTAGTATGAGTTACTATTAGTACTTGCATTATTTATAATAAATTTTTATTAAAAATCACTAAACTGCTTTATTCTTCTTATTTTATGTTTATATTGCGCGCTACAAATGAGCTCAATTTCTAATTGGTTGAGATTATAAACCTCCGCCATTATGCGCAATGGGATACTTTTCTTTTTACACCCTGATGTATATATGTTAGTACAGGGGTCGGCAACTGGGCACTGCTCGCGGGCGCCCGCGGGCAGCGTAATTGCCCGCGTGCAATAAGTAAACAGAGGGGATAGAAAAAGAGCATCGCTTATAAACTGAAATATGCTGCAACAGGATCGGCATATTTTCAAGTGGTACCCTCATGAAAATTCTTACTTCCACAAACTCTCTTTAGTTAAAAGAGAGAAAGAGAAGGAGAGANAAAGAGAAAGAGAAAGAGCTAGAAAGTGAGAGAAAAACATTATTACACAATTTG